CCTTGGAGATAATCTGGAGTTTTTCAGCTCTTACTCACGGATTTTTTTGTGTGGGTGTAACTTGTAGTATTTTCCCCTCTCTTTTCTTTTCTTATCTTTCTTTCTTTCTTTTTTCTTCTTTTTTTGCATCAAATATCGTACAGCTTATACCCAAAGGGGGCAAGTTGAAAACTTGAAATGGCCCTGTCATTATTCTCCCAAGTAAAAGCTGTTGGGTTAGATTATAGCACCGTCTACAGTGGGGATGCTCCAAGTTGATATTTCTCCCCTTATTAATTGATGGGTGTTTGGTGGAGGAGATCTACATATCCGAGAGATTAGATGAGTGCTCAAACCGACTCGTACACCCTTGTTAGTGGAAAAAAGTTCTTGCAGATTAAAAACAATAATGTCTGTATATAAAGTAAAAATCCCCTTTCCTGCTTTTGTTTATCTTTCAGATTACGAGAAGCTACTGTATCAGTGTTGTTTGCTTGACTACCTTAATGTTTTAATCTTCAATTAGTGTAATAACAGAAAGTTTTTGGGGGTAGGATGCTCAGACCCCTTTTCTCCTTCACTTTAGTTTACAACATCTCCTTTCCGACAGCGACCATCATGACCTTTTTTTACTACCCAGTTTGGTTTGTTCTGCCGGTAGACCTGGACGGTCTTTCATGGCTTAGGATTAGTAAGTTTAGCGGTTGACATACAAAACCTATCGACATTTTCGTACTTTCTGTTCCATGAATATGGTTTCCATCTTTTTAACTTCACGTACTGTTTTCATAATCTATAGTGTTAAAACTTAACATTCTCCTCTTTTACTTTCTGATTTTAAAACCTATCTTGTGAGCAGATCTGCAATTCATGGGAGGAACATCAAACTCATTGTTGTGCTCGTGCAGAGGACTACTCATGGTAAGAGATTAGCGTAACTACACTCTAAAGTATAGAGTCTAAGCAGAAAGAATACATTTAATTATAAAAATTGCCAGCAGATTGTAAAATAGTGGAGACAAAACAATCAGGGATATTGATACATGTCCTACATGGTCTCTACACGGAGATAGCTTGAGGTGTTTCTGCTCTGCAGAGCAACTGTAAAAGTGGCATTCAAGATAACAAGATTTTGCACAGTACTAGAAATGTCCTACATATTCTCTTGCGCTTTAATAAATTGTTCATACATAGTGAATTTCAAATCCACCAGCTTATTTATGTGTCATACTTAAATAAGCTCTATTTATCTTCCTGTTAAAGTTTGTCAACTCTAGTTTCAAAATTTGTGAATGACGATGATGATCTTATGTGGTGTATGCAGAAAATGTTAGCGAAGATCTTCTGGTTGCATTGAGGAAGCGTGCAGAGATAGACTCTAAATACTTTCTTCAGTATGTACAAGATGATGCATCAGAATTAAGTCAATCGCTGAACAGGTTTGTAGAAAAATTGACGTACGTTTGTTTTGTGTGCTTATTATTTTTTTCATCTTTATGGATATGTTAAAATCACAGATGAGTCATTTTTCTTCATGTTGATTAGACTTTATGCAACTTTTGTATTATTTAACTGATTAATAAAGCTAGCTACAGATTGTAGGCATAAGAATAGCAATTTATGTTTGGAAAGTGGTTTCAATGGCATATGGTGATCGTAATATCTCATTGTCAATTATATGCAGGTTGGCAGGCCTATTTGCAGACTTGTGTATCACATACTATAGGGAGGAAGGGCGAAGGATAAGGACCCGCATAGACAAGAGAAGTATTACTTCTGCAGAGCTTTATATTCGCTATTGCTTCAAGGCAAGGACGATAAGCAATATATTCAGCATAACATTTTTGTGTCGTACATATTCAGAACCAATGTGCATGTTTATCGCTCTTTGTTTCATGATCATAATATTTGAGTGCTTTCGACTTCATTCTAGTTTCATCAGATATTATTATGTCCGCATCTATTGGTTTCTAACTCATTTTTTTTCCATATTGTATCACATGCATTTCATTTTCATCGTTTTAAGCCTGACTTGTTGACACATTTGAGTACCTTTAAAATTTAAAAAGTGAAAATTAACAAAGAAGTTATTTACAGTTTCAAAAAACTGCATACCTCCATAATGTTATTGGAACGTAAAGCTTCACTTACAATTGTGTGTTATGTGGTAAGTGACAAATTCTTAGGCATATGTACATTTAACATTAACCTTTTTATACTAAAAATTGGTGTTCATTGGAGCTTAAAGCGAGTTCATATTTTGATGATATGATCCACCAAAGAATATATGCATCTACAGGGCCCATGGGCTCAGGCTCTTAGCTACTCAGGACCCAAACAAAAAGTTGTTAGGAGATTGTCTGAATTCTGCCTTTTGGTTGGGATTCAGCTCAAGCATGCCTTTAATCCAGCTCAGCTTATGCTGGCTCATTCATGTTCTGGCTAATTGTCAACCCTATAAGCAAAGCTATGCAATATTACTTTCTGATCTTCGAAAGGTTAAAATCTTTGCATCTGGAGGTACGGTTTTGAAAGAAAAACTGTGGACTCCTATGGTTTCCTCAAAACTGTGGACTCCTATGGTTTAACCTATGTGATATTAAAAAAAGGCATAATATATATTGATAACCACCACACAAACTTTTCATTGGTGATAACCACTTCATGAAAGTTCTCTTATAATCTTATTAACATTCATAATGTCAAAAAATGTATGTCATGAGGCACAACGGACAGATTGGTATGGATTTTATGCTGTGTGAAAATGGAGGGTCCCGCAAAATAAACTCTACAGTCTGGGATACATCAAAGGTTCTGGTTAGGGAAGGTCTTGTGCAGTCACTTTAGAGCTGCTAGCCTCTAAAGGCCAGGCAACAATTCTCATGTCAAGTCGAAACACTATGACTTAGCCAATTTTTTTTTGTAGTACTTGGGTATTTTGGATCATCTTTGGCATTCATTTTTAACTCTTAATTACTAATTCATGATTTGTTGACATTTAATTGATGAACTTTCATCTATAATTCTAAGTGGTATATTGTGATCATATTATGTAACCAAAACAAAATAATAACCAAAATTTAATATGTGTAAGGTTTAAGGCATTCAACTCTCGAAACTATAATTTAACCAATGGCCCGATGAATAACCAGACGATGACATGCACATCAGGAATCAACTCAAATAGAAAGTAAGTGGTGGCAACCTCAGTGAAACATACTTACGTACAAATATACCTTGTTGGTGACATTTCAGGCCATTTGCTTCTGCTTTGCCTGTTATCTGTTCTTCAGATGCCTGAACTTCGAATCACCTCAAGTAAATTACTTGTCCATGTACTCCACTAATATTGCCTATGAGGTGGTTATGAAGTTGTGCCTGCCATAAATTATTGTTGATACCTCAGATACTTGAACCTTCTACTTTGGTCTTATATCTGTCACGTTCTTAGGTTATTTTCCATAATGTTTATTTCCAGCAGGCCCATAATCATTAATATATTTCATTATTAGACTTCAACGGAAGTTTTAATTGCCTGTATGTTTTCTTGACTAATGCCAGGTTGCTGTATATGCGGAGTTTAGAAGAGATTGGGCAGAAGCATTAAGATGTTATGAAGATGCCTACCACGCCACACGTGAGGTACATGATCTTTATTGACATAACCTAATATTCTTTTGAATTTTTTACAAATTATTTTTGACAAGTAGCTACCTGAATCTTTGTCTTGTGATATATTCTTTAACAGACAAACCACCATATTTCTCAGTTTCTATGAAGGATCATTTTACCACACATAATTCCAATATATGGTTAACTCAACCTATGCATTAGTTGTTAATTTCCCTTTTTCACAGTTTTCCAGCATTCTAGTGTAGCACATTATTATTATTATTTATAAGCTGATTGCGAAGTTTGTTTTGGAGCATATGGTTGTCGGACATGTCTATTGTATTCGATCATCACCTTCATACCAAAAAAGGTTCATTTTTATGTTTCGTGACTTTCACTTGCGTGTGTGCGCACACTTGTGTGTGGTGCTTTTTTCTTTGTGGGGGGGGGTGAGTGTTGGGGGGGGGGGGGGTATGGTAATGAGTACCCCTTGTCCGCACAGCAAAAATTTATTTGTATTGAGAAGAGGGCCACTAGGTTATTTCTGTATGGTTGATGTTGGAGGTTGTACTTTCTGCGCTTTCAGATAATACGGCAAAATATGAGTTATGCTTCGTTAATTAATTTGAGTGTTGAAGTATGCATAGAATCTCCTGATTTTGATCAGATTAAAACAGACAAACAATCTTGTAGTCATGAAGAAATGTTAGTGTACGCTAATTGATTTTGCTCAGTTTTAATAGACTAGTAATATTCACATTTCTAAACTCAATCTTAAATAGGCATTTATCCTTCTTTTTTTACTTTACATTAGTATGCTGGATCTTACTTGCATAGTTTTGGGTGTATGCAACATAGTAAATTTCAGAAGTCAGTCATAGGCTACAGAGTACCGAGGAGGTACAGTTTTAAGTTTCTATGTTTCATTTTTTGATGGTTGGGGGTTATAGAGTCCTTTGCATTAACAAAGAAATTAATATACACTTGGAATTTTTGCCACTATTTCAATAAGCGGGATCTTGGAGTGCTTTCTCAGTAAGTTATGACAAATTTATTATGAAGTGTAAAACTGACATCTGAAGAGTACTTTTGTGCTACCTCGGGGAATAAATCTGCTTGCCTGTCTTCTAGTTCTTATCAGGATTCACAGATTTGTATAAGATTAAAGCTGACCAGCAAGCTTGTTTCCATGAGCAGTGTTAGTATGCAGTAGTTTCTGTTGCTCAGTTTTAAGTAATCAGTTAAAACTTCATTCTTTTAAATTCAGATGATTGGGACATCAACGAGGTTGCCCCCTATCCAACGCTTAGTTGAAATAAAAGCTGTGGCCGAGCAGTTGCACTTCAAAGTGTCAACCTTGCTGCTCCATGGTGGAAAATTGGCAGAAGCAGTTACTTGGTTTCATAAACATATATCAAATTATCAACGGCTCAAGGGAACAGCTGAAGTTGCTTTTCTTCATTGGGAATGGTTTAGCAGGCAGTTCTTGGTATTTGCAGAGTTAATGGAGACAAGCTCAGCAGCTATTCCGGACAATTATTCTCTCCGTTTTGGCACATCAGACAATCAGCTCACTGAGTGGGAGTTTCAACCAGCTTATTATTACCAGGTGCTACACCTATTAGCGAAAAGTTTATTCTGTTTGTTCTTTTTTTAATAATTTGCTTCACGGCTATATTTCTACCTTTATGTTTTTGTCTTGAACATTCTGCTATCAGATGTTAAATCTAAGGTTGCTCCGTAAATATTGAAACAGGAGCCCTCTTTATAGTCCTGTAATTGATACGAAGGTGAAAAAAGTCAGTGGGAAATCCAAACTGTGTTTTCTTTTGATTTTCTCCTGAAAGTAAAGATGATCTTGATAAAAAAGAACTGGAAGCTTTCTTTCTATATCCTGGTTTCTTTTCCTTCCCATAATATTATTATCAAATGTTATTTAACGAATTTTTATAGATAAGTGAGTTTTTTCCCCTCCCGATTAAAAGATGATTGTGTTTGGGTGTTGATTTGCTAGAAACATACATTTTTATAAATCGTGTCTTTCACTATCAGCGCTCCTAGTTTTCAGCAACCCAGCATGTTTACCTTTCATTTTCTCGTGTTTCCCTGTAACCAAACTACTGTCTAGTCTTCGGGTAAAAAAGTACTTCCCACTATCTGTGAAAGGGGAATAGATACCCTTTTCTACTGTTAGAAAAGTACTTGACAATTGTCTTGTGATATGTGGAAGTAAACCTGTTATAGGTTCTTATTTTCCTTTTCATTAACAGTTGTTCTTTTGGTGACAGTTCGCAGCGCATTACTTGAGGGAGAAAAGGAATTGTTTGGATGCCTCTTTGTCTATGGGAAATTCAGTCGGAAGCAATCCAGAATCCGTGATGCCTTCAGCATTTGTTGGCCAATTTGCTCGGTTATATGAGGAAGGTGATTCAGTAACAATGCTTCCGTAAGTCTCTGAGACCAGCTTTGGAAGATTGTGATGTTTCAAATGCAGATTTTGACAATTTTCATGATGATTTTTTAGACTTTCAGATGTCGAGTATGTAAGCTATGCTCTTGCAGAAGGGCAGAGGTTTCAAGATTCAATTGAGATCATCGCTCTGTTCAGAAGAGCTAGTGAGTCGTTTAGCAGCCTTAAAGCTCTGAGGACATCTTCTTATTGCAATAATAGAATGGCTAGGGAGTATTTTGCTACAGGGGATTTCGGCAATGCAAAGCAGCTATTCGATGGTATTGTGGGTCTTTATCGGCAAGATGGATGGGTAACTTTGGTGTGGGAGACCTTGGGTTATCTAAGAGAATGCGCATGGAAACTGGGTTCACCAAGGGATTTCGTCGAATACTCCCTTGAAATGGCCGCATTGCCCATATTTTCTAATGGTGGATTGCAGAGCATTGAGTGCAAGAGCAAATATGGCCCTGCTGGTCTTGCAACTCTTTCACGGAGAGAGATGATACAGGGTGAGGTTTATAACCTCATAAAAGGTACTCATTCAAGTGATGGGAACGATAACGTCTTGGTGTCTGAAGATCAGCCTCTCACTCTTGAGGTTGACCTTGTAAGCCCACTTAGGATGGCGCTTCTAGCATCTGTTACCTTTCATGATCAATCGATCAAACCAGGTATATCAACGTTCATCACTGTGTCACTTCTCTCCCAACTCCCACTTCCAGTTGAGATGGATGAGTTAGAAGTTCAGTTCAATCAGGACAGTTGTAACTTCAGGATACTCAGAACTCAGGAAGAACTCTCCTCCGCGAACTATGGCATTGAAGATCAGGGCACCCGGATAGAGACTGTTCCAACTCTTATGTTAACGACGAACAAGTGGTTGCGTTTAACTTATGAAATCAGATCAGGTAAGCTTTTTTTGCTCTTTATATCTATCGCTTGATAGCAGGTTCGGTTTAATTTATGAAGCTAAAGCGACAGTTTGGACAAAACTTCTCTGACATGAGCCAAAAATTATATTTATTTTCTCTCATCTTGCTACAAAGAGATTCTCTAAGGAGTATTAGTAAGGCAGATCATGTGTAAAATATGATAGAGGTAATTGCGAATAGACCATTTGTAGCTTCGTCCAATTGCGAATGGACTCCCTGTAGGCTGTAGTTTTATTTGTGCGAATAGACCGCCTGAAGTATTGGCCCATGTGCGAATACACCCCCTTAATGTTTTCAACTCTTTTGCGAGTAAAAAAAAATTAGTAATTGGGGACCTATCCTCACCAATAGAACTATAAGGTGCATATCTGCCTCCACGAAACCTTTTTGACTATTTTAAGAGGTAAAAAAATTCTCTCAGGGGTCTATTTGCACAAACAGAACTATGAGGGGTCTATTCGCAATTGGATGACATGGGGTCTATTCGCAATTAACCCTATACAATATGAAAGTTCTTAACCTTGTGAAGCATAACATTGTTTGTCAGTATTTTAGTATCTAACTTTATGCATTAAAATCTAAAACAATGATTCTCAATAAAAGCCAAAAGGGTCATTATTTTAGTATCTAACTTTATGTTTTTAATGTAAGCCAGAAGGAATCAGCTTTGATGCAAATATTAATTCCTATATTCATGGTTGTCAACGTCATATAGTTATGCTTGTACAAAGCTTATACACACGGCTATACACTCAAAGCTCTTGAAAATTTATAGCTGCATTTGTATATGTGCAGAACAGAGTGGAAGGCTTGAATGCGTGTCAGTGACAGCTAAAATAGGAAATTGTTTTAGGATTTGCTGTCGAGCAGAGAGCCCTGCTTCAATGGAAGAGTTGCCACTATGGAAGTTTGAGGACAGGGTAGAGACTTTCCCAACCAAAGATGTCGCTCTCTCATTCTCAGGCCACAGATTTATTCAGGTCGAAGAGCCTGAACCTCAGGTTGATCTCACCTTAATATCTTCTGGTCCTGCATTAGTTGGTGAAAATTTTGTCGTTCCTGTAACAGTGGCCTCCAAAGGCCATCAGATTCACTCTGGGGAGCTCAAAATTAATATAGTGGATGCAAAAGGAGGTGGTTTGATAACGAGTCCCAGAGATCCTGAGCCCTTTTCTTCCATCAGCCATCATGTCGAGCTCATGAGCATCTCAGGGAAATTCGAGGAAGATAAATTGCAAAATAATTCTGACAACATTAAGAAGATTCAGCAGTCATTTGGAGTTGTCTCTGTCCCAGCTTTAGAAGCAGGTGAGTCGTGGTCCTGTAAACTGGAGATCAGATGGCATAGACCCAAATCAGTAATGCTTTATGTTTCACTTGGTTACCAGCCAAACAACTTAGGTACGACATTGCAAAGAGTTAATGTGCATAAGAGCTTGCAGATTGAAGGGCAAACTCCATTGGTCATTAGTCACCATTTTATGATGCCATTCCGAAGAGAACCTTTGCTACTCTCAATATTGAAGCCATCACCTGGTTCTGAGCAGAAGGTGTCATTGCCTTTGAATGAGAAAAGCATCCTCATCGTGAGTGCTAGAAACTGCACTGAGGTCCCTCTATGGTTCACATCAATGTCTATTGAATCAGACAATGACGACGAAGTTGGATGCTCTTGCTCAGTGAGTGGTGGCGCTCCTTCTGAGCCTGGCTTTCTTAGTCCTGGTGAAGAGTTCAAGCAAGTTTTCTCACTCACTCCTCAGGTTGAATCCCCAAATCTTTGCTTGGGCGCCATTTACCTAAGGTGGAATAGAGATTTAGGTTTTGATCAACATTCAAATTCTTTTGTTGTCACAAAAGAAAATTTGCCACCTGTAAGAGTGGAAAAGCCTCCATTTGTTGTAAGTTTAGAATGCCCTCCTCATGTTGTTCTTGGAGTCCCCTTCTCATTCTATGTAAAGGTCAGAAACCTCACAAGCTTGCTTCAGGATGTCAAGTACTCGCTTGGGGATTCTCAGAGCTTTGTGTTTGCTGGAGCTCACAGTGCCGCAGCCTCCATTCTACCAAAAGCCGAGCACATAATCAGTTACAAGCTTGTGGCGTTGGGTTCAGGCCCACAACAACTGCCACGGATCACAGTGACTTCTGTCAGATATTCAGCTGCACTCAATCTTTCTCTTGCAGCAGCAACTGTTTTTGTCTTCCCTTCAGAACCCTGTTTTGACACAAACAGAGCAATTAAGGAGTTCGAGTCTGCTTCTCTCGATTGAAAACCTGTATTTGATTGTAAATCACTCTCTGTCCGGTTGAGGACGCTAAATTGTGGTCTTCTTTCAGCTGGATCGGCATGCCTGAACGATCATGATGTCCATGCCAAGGTGAGGGCTTGTACAATCTACACTGTAATTTGCAATGGTACTTTGTGTTTATAGTGATTTAAGTCATCATTGTAGTGTTGGTTACATTGTTGGATTTGTCTGGGGATGGTTGATATAGAGGCTGCATTGGCCAGAACATAGATGTCTTTTGGGCTCTGATGTCATTAGAAATTTATGGGGATAGGAATCTTGTTGTTGTGGTTCTACATGCTGTATTATCTGCTTATTTAGTTTCTGTGCTGGGACTTATTTGCTTTTGCGTGTTTTATGTGACACAATTTGCTAATATGTCTGAAATATGAAGCATGGATGCCGATAAGAGATGCATGTATGATACATCTAAAATCAAATATACTTGCAAAGCCGTCATTCTTGTACTTCACTTTTTTTTTTCCAACTTTTAAACATTAGGTATATCTAAGATATATCCTTGAAACATCTCACGCTGCCAATATTGGATTTACATTAAAAGGTGTACTTGACATGCATCTATCAAGTGTTAGATCATCCAAGTGTCGGACACGTATCCGATTACTGTGTGCATCCTTCGTTGAAGCATTGATGGCAGTGTTATCAATGGCACAATAATTTCATTTTCTCTGGAAACAGAATTTAAAAAAAAAAAAGTGAAAAAGGTATTGAATTGTAAGTTCCAAAGATGAAAGCATTTAAAGTTGTACGTCACTCTCTTTATCTTATGCAGTGCTTGAATCTAATTTCACAGAAGACATTCTGTTGGTTTTTTGCTTTCAGAGGTTTAGATACAGCCAGATATAAGAATCTGGTAGGGTTTTTTTAGGAGTTGGCACGTGTGCTTTTGGCCTTCTTGTTGTTGGGTAGGGTACCGTCTCAAAGGATGACTAACAAATAAACAACGGGTGCTTGTATTGTATTCTGTTCACTTTTTACTCCCACAGAAATTGTTAGATTCGGAATTTTCCTCTAAAAATGTGCATTTTTATTTTTACTTTTTTACTTTTTTTTTGTATTTCGGTCGTAAGAAATGGATGTTACGCGGCAATCAATGCTGTCTCCCTCGTTCACGTCTCTAAGGGCCCGTTTGGTTGGTTTCCTAAAAATCAAGAAAAGGAAATAGGTACAAGGAAATTAATAAAATAATATTTTTATCCATTTCCATCTCTAAAACTCACACATAACATCTAATAAAATATTATTTTTATCTTTCAACTCATCTCATTTCATCTCCTTTCTTACATTTAAAAATAAACCAAACACAAGAAATGTGTCACATCATCCAACTCATCACAACTCATCTTATCCCATTTTTAAAAATCACACACATCATCCAATAATATTGTGACAACTCATCTCATCTCATTAAACATTCCTTTCCATCCATTTCCTAAAAAAAAAAACAAGAAATTGGTTTCCTTAAGTACGTGTCACATCATCCAATAATATACCTCCAACTCATCTCATCTCATCTATTTTCCTATTTTTAAAAACGAACCAAACACAAACAACCTCAAAACATCATCCAATAATATACCTCTAATTCATTTCTTTATTTTTTTAACCAACCAAACAACCTCAAAACAATTTTTTTTTAAAAATCACTCACATCATCCAATAATAAGTTGACAACTCATCTCATCTTATCTCCTATTCTACAATTTCTTTCTTTTTTAAACCAACCAAACAACCTCAAAACAAATATTATAGGAAATAGGTTTCCTATTCTTTGATTTCCTAAAAAAAATGGCCAAACGAACATCCCCTAAGCATATGTATGCTGGATTGTTGGCATCCACGATATTTTCTAGTTGGTTTATGGTGAGAAGTTAGAACTGGTGGTCCCTATTGACCTTTTGATTGGGTGATTCTGTGCTGAACTTGGTAGAATGTTTTATTTTTCAGTTGAAACTTTCTGTTTGTATTTTCCTTTCATCAAAATGTAAAACTGCGAGTTCTCAGCATTTATGACGTATCTGCTTCTTTGAAGCGAACTTAGAAGCAAGCTCCGTGTAAATTTTAACGAAGTATTCGAAACCCAAGCATCCGAATTTGAAATTAGCTTGGGAAATGAGCCGACTGGCCTTCAAGAAGCGAAGCAGACTGGCCGCGAGGATTTAACAAAGACTCGAGGCTAATGAATTTTGGAGGAAGAGATCATTCCATTAGTTGGTATTGGTTTAGTGAATCAAAAAACTAAAGCGACTTAGTTCTAGCCTAGTGATG